GATATAAGCATATGCATAAATATGGTAAGAACCATATTGCAAGTCGATGGCATTTGGTAGCAGTCAAAGCAGTAAAATCCTTCATGGAGGAAGCTCCTATAGATGTCCAACTAATATCAGCACACTAAAAATTAACAGCGGAAAATCGAAAAATTTTATCGTCAATCATATCAACCATAATATTTTGTGGAATTCATGACTTACCATTAAGAGGCAAAGTACAAAACGAAGGAGTTTTTGAAGACTCAATTCATTTCAGAATTGATAGTGGCGACGTAGACCTAAAACGACAGATAGAAGGTAAAAAAAAAACGTTACCTATACCGATTGGTAACTTTAATTTTAGGAGATACACCCAACACGGACGTACGTATAAGTATACTTGTGTGTGTGCATATGCGCGCGGAGTATGTTTGTGGGAGGGGAATCGCAAGAGTAGTATATCGGAGAGCAGTCAGTCGTTTGACATCGTTCAATGATAAGAAATATTATAAAAATAATAACTAATATAATAAATGAAATTCAAATAAGACAAAGCAAATTCTTAATTCTAAAAATAAAAACAATTCGTNCAGCGGCTTTCTGTATAACGATTAAGAGTTAGAATAATTGAAAAGTGGTCTGAGTCCATAACCCACTCTCCTTTTATTTGTAATTAATCTGCGAAGATGTTTTTGACGGTGTAAAAATCTATCAAGTTTGGTATTTTATTGTGGTCTCTCGGCTAATATGTTGGCTTTCTAGTAGACAATACTCATTTATACCCTTTTATAGCTTCGTAGAGTTCTCTGCCTTTTATCGTGGTCAATCTTGGCCATAAAGCTATGTTCTTAGCATTGAAGGCACCACCAATGATAAATTTATAACCTTGTTTCTTCAGAAATTCGAGATATCGGTCTCTTTTCAATGGGTGCCTTTGTGGGCAGTAACTGCCGCTACTATAAACTGATAGTTTTTTCATCTTACATTAATCATAGCAGCTTACATTTTTGGTGTATTATTCCCTAGTTCTTCATAATGAGACATATTTTCTTTGGTTATAGCGGAGGAGGCACAGTCCTCTAGCAGAGTTATCTGGATGAGTGGTATGATAAACTTTGAAGTCTTTGAATTTAAGTAGGATTCTTTTGTGAAATGAGTTTCGCTTATAAGACTAAGAGTCTATTTTTTCTATGTCAAGGACTTTTAGACTTGCTTGCTTGCTACTGTGGTATTAGTTTTGTTATCTTAATTGGTTCTATCTTGATTTTAAATACCAGTATCTCTTTTATTTCGCAGACAACGTCTTCTTCGTTGTTAAACACCAGTATGTAAATATCTATGGCGGGATATTGCAATAGAGGGGGGAAGTACTTTTGGGAATGCTTACAAAAGTTTGAGTGGACTGCTGGAGATATGGATAGATAAAGTGGAGTGGGATAGAATTAAATATGGGTTGCTAGAGGGTTATGAATGACATCTTCCATGGGCGAAGCCAGAGACGGCCAGGGAGCGGCCATGCCCCCCCCCCCCCCTAAATCTCTGAAATAATTACACTTTTTTTACAAAAAAATAAACTCTTAATTACAAATAGACTGCACCATGATTCATGCGTGACATTGGTTTGTCGAGAGGATTGACTAGGCCTTTATACCAACGACGACATCTGTTGCCGAGAAGACTAACTAGACCTTCATAACTTTATTCTGGTTAGTCGACAGAAATCATAAACATGTAAACCACTAGAAACGGTTCTGCTGAAGTTATAACCTAGTCGTAGTGCTGTGTTAAAATGGACATAAGGAAATTTTTTAAGACTAAAGGTATTTATTTTATTATGTTTTATTTTAATCTTTCAATGCGTAATTACGTACTTACTAATTTTGTTTCTATAATTATTAATGGTATCTTAATTTAAAATTTAAATTATAATTAGATATTGTTTTGCGCGGGAGGGTGTTTGATCGGTTTTTGTGATAATTGATATAATGTTGCTTTTGATTTTTTTGGTAATTTAATAATCCTAACTATTTGTTTTTATTTTTATTTTTATTATCTCATTTTCATTGATACTGCTCAGTTTTGATTTGATTTAACTTTTATTTTATTTTCTGCTGCTGTTCTCATCAGGTGCAAGTAAAATCAGTGGCATTGTTTTGCCTTTTCTGCCCTTGCACCCTTTGAGCTATAATTTAAGTTTAATATTATTGTATTTTTCCTTATTATTATATTTTGTTTTTTTCTAATTTGGCTCAATAAATTATTATTATTATTATTATATTAAACAAGAGAGATATTAGAGATATTAGATTATAACAAGATGGTCTCAAAAATACCGAAGTATTTCCATCTTCATGCAAAACTTCTTAGGTCTCCTACATGGTCTAGAGAGACTCGCAGAGGAAGGAAACCCTGCTACCAGAAAGACAGCCGTTCAGCTGCATTGTGCTGAAACGAAACCTGTATTTATTATCTCCACCTGCATTATATCTAAGTACTCTGCTTTACTGAAACCTGTTGCAAATGTTTTCCAGTCAAAGGGTTTAGATCTCCTTCAATGTACTAACCACATTAAGAAAATTATTGATGTAGTGAAAGTTCATCGCCAAACTACGGATGCTTCTGCCAATAGGATTGTGGAGGAAGTACAAATAGAACTTCATCCATCCAGAATAGTAAAGCACCAGCAGCATCGTTCAAACACTCCTGCAGATTCACCTGCTGAGTATTGGAAACGTACGATACTTATTCCATACCTGGACTCTTTAACGTCAGCGTTGAAGAACAGATTTTCTGTAGAAAACGTACCGGCCTTTTCTATATTATCCCTACATCCTTATCTTACGCTAAATTTGAAAATTTTAAACAAAGAGCAAAATCTATTGCTGAATTGTACGACCTGAAAGAGCTTCAGTCTGAAACTGAATTGTGGTATCATGCGTGGGCTGAAAAAACCTTGATAGACAGATCTTAAAAGATCTGGAAATGGTTGAAGTGATTAAAGAAGCGAATATATTCTTTCCCGGCATAAAAAATACTTTAATGATCTCAATAGCGCAGCCTTGTTCCACAAGTACAATAGAAAGATCATTTAGCACATTAAGACGTGTCAAAACATAGTTAAGATCAACGATGGGGGAAAACCGTTTAAATGGACTACGTTTAATGAGTGTGCATAAAAATCTTCTGTCGGAAAAAAAGAATGAAATCGAGTTAGAAGTCATAGAAACATTTTCTGAAAATTCTAGGCGATTAATGTTATAAATAAAGTATGTGTTGTTAAATTAACTCTTCAATTTTTGAAACCCCCTCACCCTCCCCCGGTCCGGCAAGTCTCCAAGATGTTAACTCTAATTCGCCCGCCCCCCTAGACCAAATTTTGACTACGCCCATGACACTCTCAGTGTGCACAGAATAGGGGAAAAAAGACTGATGACAGAAAGAATCATGACGAGGATCAAAGAAGAGGTAGTGTTACCGATAGCAAGGATGTAATAAAGAGAGAAGTGAAGATGGATGGAGATAAAGCGGAGATAATTACGGTATATAGCAAAGAGATGGGGAAGACCAAACCAAAGCTTGAAGCTATGACTCAGGATGTGAGAAGGATATCTGGTAATCCGGGAGAACTTTAATGCACGGAATGAAAAGGAAGGAAGTAATTGTGTGGAGGAAGGGAAGGAAAAGCGATATCTATTAGAGAAGATGGAACAGATATTCACGGAGACTGTGTCAAGTGTGGAGGTGAATGGAGAAATGAGTAAACGATTTTATACGAATAGAGAGTTGAGACAAGGGTGCCCAATAAGTGCTAGTTTGTTTGCTGTGGCAACAGATTCTAAAGAATTGAAACGGATGATGGGACATACTTTGATGGTTAGGATTTGGAGGTGAATGTTTAAAAAATCGAAAATTATAAAAATCTGCCGGGGCGGGAAATGAAAAAGTGAGAAATGGGAATGAAAGGTTAGCGGTGGAGGAGCTAAGGGAGGTTCCGTACATGGGTTTTATCTTTGGAACGGATAATGGGGTGAGGACTCATCTTAGGTAGATAATTTGAAAAGCAAGCAGATTATTTGGGCAGATATCAAGCTGGGGGAAAAGAATGTTTGATGGATTGATCAAGAGTGTGGTTGGAAGGAGCACAAGATGGTGGAGAAATTAAGGAGAGATATTGAAGGTGGGTCTTGGGGTTGAGCAGAGACAGTCCGGGATATGTAGTACGAGAGGAGTTAAAGCTGAAGAAGATGAGGGTGGAGTGGAAAAGCGACTTTAAGATTTTGAGAGGGTGTTGAAGGGAGATTAAGTCTGAGATGGCAAAGTATGGACTACAAAAAAGAGTGGAATGTTATATCACAGTAGGGTAGGACAATATTAAGAGTCAACACAGTAGAAGGCTGTGTCTTAATGACAGAAATTGCAGACTATTTGATGGAGGAGGGAAGAGAGAAATAAAAAGATATGGTTGCGGGATTTATGTGCGGGAATGAAGAGAATGTGTAGATTGTTTGGGGATGATTGAGAGACAAATCATCATATACTGAGGTGGGACGACTTGAGGGAGGGTGGCATGGAGTGGGGGAGACGGAATGGGGTGGAGGAGCTCTCCTGCTTTATTTAAAGTGTTTATTTACAAAATTTTGTTCTTTTGTCGGTGGTGCTATGGAGGAATCCATTCTTCTTTTTTCTTTTTGCTCTAATTCACGCTGTATCCATCGCTAATTCTTCATCTGTCTAATTTACAGTTTCTTAAATCATCTTATCATCCTTATTAGGATCCTTATAATATCCACATATTTCTAATGTCTTCAGTTCTAATTAATAATTTTTCTAGAATGACAAAAAAAAACTAAACAAAATATTCTCTTTTTAACACTTTATTCAACTTCGAATCAATTCACTTATTGGATAAATAAGAAAAATTATTCTGTATAAAGATATGAGAATTATTTATTCTCATAAATTATTTTAGAGACCAAATTTTCCAAATTCTTAAGTAACTGGTATAAACATGACTTAAGAAGAATCAAAATTAACGCTGTATTAATCAATCTGTAGTAATCAAATGTTACTAAAATAGGCTTTATAGTAACTTGAAATCTGTATACAGGATGAGTGTCATCATAAAGTAATCCTTAAAGTCCTCTTCGAGTCATTAACGAATCAAAAAGTGTATAAAATGAGAAAGATATTCTCAAAACTTTTATAAACCCCGCGAAATCCAAATTTGTTACACCGACAGCTGTTAAAACACACTGGCGATGACTTCTTTGTATCATCATAATCATCGTTTTACGAAAATCTTGATCGAAACGTGAACACCAATTGCAACTAAAAATTTTATCAGATAAAAGTGTGCTTTGATATGTTAGTTCTTGTCCAACGAAACAGTAACAGAACAACTGGATGAGATGGGCAACCGAATACATTATCATTTTTGAGAATTGGTTTCTATCTAATCTCTATAAAATAATGCAAAAAGAAAATAAATAATGTTATAAAATATTAGAGAATTACCAAAACTAAAGCACTCGAACAAATCGACATTGTACTCGTCATGTATTGAATTAAAATGACGATGTTGAACGAATTTTCCAAGTTTGTACATAATCTAAAAAAAAAAAATGAGCAAAAATATAGTTTAAAAACAAATTTTGTCTTATTACTTTAATAATAATTTGTGTTGTTCCAAACATTTCAATACCAATCCCTTATCGGAAATATTTTCTTTTTCAAAAATCAATTTTCTCTGTCTCACGGAAGATTCAGTGAAAATATTTTGAAACACATCTTGTATTACACAAAATTGCATCGCGCAGATCATTACCAAAGGGAAAAAAAGTAAATCGAAACTACACACTGACAATAAAATATACCAATCGAAAAGGTATTGCCATGTATATAAAATTTCATATACGTAAGTTTGATTCCAACTGATATAAGGATATTCTGAATTTAATATTAACGAATGCTGCCTAATAAATGGTATTCCCGTAATTTGCAGATTGCAAAGGACGGAGCACAAAAAGAAAATTCCCGCTAAAAACGTACTCGTGAAAACTTTTTCTTTGATATTGAGTTGGGTACGCGGATTTGTTATATTAACAGCCCAAAAATGTTTCCAAATTTTATACAAAATATCGTTGATGATGTCTTTTTTAAACATCAAACAATAAATTCTTACAAGAGATTCTAAAGTGGTTGTGACGGTTATCAATGTTGTCATAGAGCTTACGGCATTTTCAGAGTAATTTAACATAGCGTAATAAGTATGAAAACACTCAATAACGAATAGATTAAAAAAAACAAAATAATTTGCGAAACGAATTTTTAGGCTCGTTGAATCCGGCCATAAACACAACGTTTCCAAAAGAATTTTTGGGGCGAATATTCCTGCTTTAGCTTCATCCTGATTAATATGTTTGGTGAATTCTAAAACGAAATTGAAATTAATGGGTTGTGTTGAGTATAAAGATTAAAACTTACCAACAGCTAATCTTTTAATATCCTTTTTTTCTTTAGTCATTTTTGATTGAAGTATGAATAAGGATTAATTCACAAAGACAAGATAATTGAGTTATATAAAAGAGAAATGGATTCAATTATTAATAGATATCAAATTTTGACATGTTAACATCGGTTATTTCCCTAGAGAGTCTGGAGAATAAAATATTAATTTTGCAGATGGCCAAAATGAATTATAAAAAACANACTTCGCCTCTCAACAATCTATGAACGATTCAATTTGTGCATTACCCCTACGCTTGTTTATCCCCCACTTAACGACACCGAATATACACACACACGTATACTTATACGTACGTCCGTGTTGGGTGTATCTCCTAAAATTAAAGTTACCAATCGGTATGTCGCCACAAATACAAAATGAACTTATAAATTTGTGTGGTAATGTTGTAAAAAGTCTTACACTAAAAGCCGCTAAAAAATCGTTCGTTTATTCTATATTAGTAGACGAGGTAGCGGATATATCAGGAAGCGAACAACTGTCTTTAGGACTGAGATTTTTCAATGAAGAAAAACTGACGATACGCGAAGAATTTCTCGGATTCGAAAAATTAGAATCTATGGTTGCAAGAACCATAGCTGAAACAATCGACAAGTTTTCACAAAGAGGAGAATTAGACCCACAAAAATGTGTTGGGCAAGGATAAAACCGGTGTGCGACAATGGCCGGCAAAGTTGGTGAAGTACAAAAGATAATAAGGGAAAAGTATAGGAAGGCCCTGTTCTTTAATTGTGCAAGCCATAGGTTAAATCTAGTGGTGAATGATCTAAATCGCGTCGCTGAAGTTCGTAACACAGTGTCCACTATAAAAGACTTCATAACTTTTGTTTGAGAATCCGTTTTAAGGAGAAAATACGCTCCAAATATACTAGCTCTGTGCGAAACAAAATGGTCTCAAAAATACCGAAGTATTTCTATCTTCATGCAAAACTTTTTAGGTCTCGTACATGGTCTAGAGAGATTNTAAGATATCTAAACAGGCTATATCAAAAATAGTACCAGAAGTTTGTAACGCTATTGTTGAGGTATTACAAGATAATGTAAAGGTAAGTGAAACACTTTGTCAATTTAATCAATCAATTTAATTATTATCGTAATTTGAAAAAAAAGTTGAAAGTGTACTTCCATAAGTTTCCTCTGTTGGAAACATTATTCCATCTCGATTGGAATTTGACCTTGCAAATTCCTCTCTGAAGGCACTGAGGGAGCAGGAGAAGGTGTGGTGCTTTGGGAGAGTACTTCATAAGATGACGCAGGAGATGACCTCTGGTGGTGATAAAATTGGGCGTATTGCCCCATATCCGCATTAAAAAGGATATTGTTCATGTGGTGCTGTACATTTGCGCGAGTCGTGGTATCATAACTGCGTAGCTTTAAAGCTATATGTTCGCCATACACACAACAGTCGTCCCTAGGGTTTTCAAACATTTTTTGTTTTAAACTGGACAGCACGGAATATGCCTCAGTCACTCGGGGATCTTCTTTTGATTTTTTGGGGGTGCTTTTCGGAGCTACAAATAGTTTACGCCGTTTAGCCGTTTCTGCAAAAATTGGCTCCTTAGCCTTCTCTTCAGCAGTAGCACCGGTGCCAATTTGCTCTGCATCATTGTTTGTTGTTTCTTCACTGTCGCTTACTTGTCGTGTATTATCCACCACCGCATTTATCTGCAATACAAAAGGCATGTGTACCTAAATGATTCGATTTGTTTTTTACAGTTGCCATAAACTGAAGAAGATTGGTTGCATATTGCAAAGCAGTTTGAGGAATTATGGAATTTTCCTAATTGTGTCGGCGCTCTAGGTGGTAAACATGTAGTAATACAAGCACCAAGAAAGAGTGGAAGTGAATTTTATAATTATAAAAGTACCTTTAGTATAGTTTTAATGGCTGTTGTTGACGCAGATTATTGCTTTACTTTTGCTGATGTTGGGTGCCAGGGAAGAATATCAGATGGCGGTGTTATAAGAAATACATCATTTTTCAAAAAGTTGCAAGAAGGCACTCTACATTTACCTGCAAACAATGTTTTACCAAATACCGACCTATCACTACCTTTCGTATTTGTTGCAGATGATGCATTTCCTCTGCACAACCATATTTTGAAACCATACCCTGGTGTTAATGAGAAAGGCTCTATGGAGCGAATATACAATTATCGATTGTCAAAGGCTAGAAGGATAGTCGAAAACGTATTCGGTATTATAACAGCAGTCGTTAGAGTTTTGAGAAAGCCGATTTTGCTAGAACCACAAAAAGTTCAAAAAATTGTGTTAGCTTGTGTTCATTTGCATAATTATTTAAGAAAAAGTAAATCCTCTCGCTATATCTACACACACCAAGGAAGTTTAGACTCTGAAGTTAAGGGAGTACTTGCAAATGGTAGCTGGAGGCAAGACAGCGGAACAACATCATCACTCATCCCCATAAGAAAAGTTGCCCGTAAGACCTCATCCGTGACGAAAGAGAATAGACAACAGTTTGCAGAATATTTTGCAACTGCAGGACGTGTACCATGGCAAGATTTTTATGCATAATCTTTAAAAGGCCTGTTGTATGTTCTTTAATTCGTTCTCANCTTCTTTGTATCATCATAACCATCGTTTTACGAAAATCTTGATCGAAACGTGAACACCAATTGCAACTAAAAATTTTATCAGATAAAAGTGTGCTTTGATATGTTAGTTCTTGTCCAACGAAACAGTAACAGAACAACTGGATGAGATGGGCAACCGAATACATTATCATTTTTGAGAATTGGTTTCTATCTAATCTCTATAAAATAATGCAAAAAGAAAATAAATAATGTTATAAAATATTAGAGAATTACCAAAACTAAAGCACTCGAACAAATCGACATTGTACTCGTCATGTATTGAATTAAAATGACGATGTTGAACGAATTTTCCAAGTTTGTACATAATCTAAAAAAAAAAAATGAGCAAAAATATAGTTTAAAAACAAATTTTGTCTTATTACTTTAATAATAATTTGTGTTGTTCCAAACATTTCAATACCAATCCCTTATCGGAAATATTTTCTTTTTCAAAAATCAATTTTCTCTGTCTCACGGAAGATTCAGTGAAAATATTTAGAAACACATCTTGTATTACACAAAATTGCATCGCGCAGATCATTACCAAAGGGAAAAAAAGTAAATCGAAACTACACACTGACAATAAAATATACCAATCGAAAAGGTATTGCCATGTATATAAAATTTCATATACGTAAGTTTGATTCCAACTGATATAAGGATATTCTGAATTTAATATTAACGAATGCTGCCTAATAAATGGTATTCCCGTAATTTGCAGATTGCAAAGGACGGAGCACAAAAAGAAAATTCCCGCTAAAAAAGTACTCGTGAAAACTTTTTCTTTGATATTGAGTTGGGTACGCGGATTTGTTATATTAACAGCCCAAAAATGTTTCCAAATTTTATACAAAATATCGTTGATGATGTCTTTTTTAAACATCAAACAATAAATTCTTACAAGAGATTCTAAAGTGGTTGTGACGGTTATCAATGTTGTCATAGAGCTTACGGCATTTTCAGAGTAATTTAACATAGCGTAATAAGTATGAAAACACTCAATAACGAATAGATTAAAAAAAACAAAATAATTTGCGAAACGAATTTTTAGGCTCGTTGAATCCGGCCATAAACACAAGGTTTCCAAAAGAATTTTTGGGGCGAATATTCCTGCTTTAGCTTCATCCTGATTAATATGTTTGGTGAATTCTAAAACGAAATTGAAATTAATGGGTTGTGTTGAGTATAAAGATTAAAACTTACCAACAGCTAATCTTTTAATATCCTTTTTTTCTTTAGTCATTTTTGATTGAAGTATGAATAAGGATTAATTCACAAAGACAAGATAATTGAGTTATATAGAAGAGAAATGGATTCAATTATTAATAGATATCAAATTTTGACATGTTAACATCGGTTATTTCCCTAGAGAGTCTGGAGAATAAAATATTAATTTTGCAGATGGCCAAAATGAATTATAAAAAACACTTCTTGTTAGTTACAAAATGTTTTTTATTTTGTTAAAATATTAAATGATTTATTGTTTTTGTTATTTTTATAATTTATTATTACGACAAATTAATAATAATTTAATTAAAGCGCTTTAGAAATCTACATCTTCGCAACCGCTTAATGAAAAAAATTGCGGTAAAGTTTGTTGTAATCACTAAACACTTCTACGTAACATATGTGGATTTAAAAAAAATTGGTTCGGCGGTTTTCTTTTTATCGCGAGTTAAATGAAAAAAGGACCAGTTGAGGGTGCTTGCAGTTGTTTTGAGGGTGCGATAAATTTTGTCCACTTTACGACTTTTTTTTCTCAAAAACTATCCGATCAAAAACTTTCGAACTTGAACAGGTGGTAGAATGATGTGCTCCTAATAAGGGGCATATTTTATTTTTTCGATATTTCATTTAAACCTACTTAGTAGGATGCGGTTATGTTGAAAAGGGCTGGGTGGATAAACACTGTGACGTTATTTTCGTATTTAAAATATCAAGTTTTCTTGTTATACAGGGTGTCCGGAAATTGCGTTATTATTAATTGCTAATCTAAAGGTGTGATTCTACATAAAAAATCATGAAGAAAAGTTCATATAAAGGTGTGTCCGAAAATGCTTCCTAAGGGATGTAGAGCGCTTTGAAGAAGACGTTCAATATGAGGTTATTTCTCATTATTTCAAAAACTACTAGGGTTAGAAACACGAAATTTTGCATATCCAGCTATTTTTACGGGGCGAATATGATAATCGAATAAAAAATTAGAAGGAATGTGCAGTTGCGAAAATAAGGGATAGGGGGCGCAATTTATTTCCCATATTTTTTTTTGCTTTGATCTTTTCACTATTTTAACCTCAAAATTAGAATCTACGTAAAAAAATACATAAAAAATGTTCTGCTTATAAAATGGTCTACGACCACTCATTTTCAAGATAAATAACACTAAGTAAAATACTGCACACAAAC